TGAGAGTCAGCCTGGAGATAAATTTTTAAGGTACCAATGAGGTTCCCTGATGGAATAGATGTGGGACCTCACTAATTAAGATGGCAAAGGCTGAAGATGTCTGATGTGAATAACCACTCTATTTTGGACACCTTACATTGTCACAGTCTTGCTTGTGGCTCTGTAGAAGGGCCTTTGAGTACTGTCCTACTGCTGCTGGACAAGTGACCCCAGGAAGTAGACCCAACAGCACTCTGCCTTGTATCCTGGCGACACATCTTAAAATTGAACACCCACACAATATGGAAGTGTATGTGCATTATTGAGAAGAAGGGAGAGTGGTGTAAGCATGCCTTTGACTGAAGTTTAACCTCTCCTTCTCTTCTATTTTCTAAGATTCTGCTCTCTAAGAAAATAGTACAAATGCTTTTGCCTCCAGTTCTGCCTTCTGGGAGAACACAAACTAAGGCAACATCTAAGTAGATATGTGGGGAGGAAGTTGTTTAAATGAGTCATAGTTTGGGAGAGTGATTTAGGAACATGAAAGTTTGAGTGTTGTGAATTAGATAGTCAATGGAGACTATCATGACATTGGTTGAGAGCACAAAGGAATGAAAAAAAAAAAAAAAAAAACAGACCCTGGGAGAGCAGAGACATCAGATCTGCTTACTGTTGGTTTTCACTCCAGTCTCTAGAAAAGTGCATGGCAGGTTCACCAGATAATTTTAGGATGAATGAAGTAGATCATCAGAACCTTTGGGTTAGATAGGAAGGAAAATCAAGCCATAAAGAGCAATGAACTTCTGTAAGCTGGCTCAAGGAACTTGAACCCCATGAAGGTGAAAAGTAGGTCTAACAGTAGAAGCAAGAGAGGAAAATAACAGAAAGAGGAAGCTGTGGTTAGAGAAAAGCTCTCAAGCACACTGTCTGCTTAAAGCCTTTTAGAATCATCTCATGGGATGTTCTTCCAACCTGTGCCTCTTTTAAGATACTGCATCTTGTACTGTGTTAAGTTTTATATCCACGTGGCCTACTTTCATCTCTTTCTTCACCCCCAGTGAAGATACTGCATCTTTTACTGCATCAAGTTATACCCACATGGCCAATTTTCATCTCTTTCTTCACCACCAGTATGGACTCTCTTTTCCAACAGAGGCTAATTTAAAAAAAAAAAAAATGGAAGTGATTTCAAGTCCCAGAAACACAAATTGTGTGTATCAAAGTTTGGCGTTCCTGGTTTATATCTATGGTGTACAGGCTGAAGATAAAGCAGAGTATCCATTGGAAGACTGGGTTTCAAATCTAGATTCTGCCTAAGTACAGCAAAATAACTTGCATTGAATGAATCAATAAGAATGAGCAAGGTTATGTGGGTACAGAGGACACTAGATAGAACACATAACTCAACTGTGTGAGTCCCACGGGTCAGATGGGATGATACAGGTGAAAATGATAAAATAAGCCTGATGTTAGCATGCACTTTAGAACTGGCAGATGTGCAAAAAACAAAAAAAAAAGTCTAAATGTGTGAACAAAGGGGAAAAAACATAAAAGCAAGTTGCGATGTTTGATGCGGTATCTTAGTTTGCCTTCCATTGCTGCTAAAACACTGCCCAAAACCAACCTGGAGTGGAAAGGGTTTATTTCAGTTTACAGCTCCCAGGTCATAGTTCCACAAAGAGATAACTGGATGCGGACATGTAGAAGATGGAGATAGATCTGTATCTATCGCCATGCACAAAACTTAAGTCCAAATGGATCAAAGACCTCAACATAAATCCAGCTAACATTTTTATGAATTCAAGACCTGTCAAACACTGCTCTTGGTACATCTCACATTTATTACCTTATTTCATCACCACAACAGCATTGTGAGGTGCTATTTTATTTTACATATGGGGAAACTGAGTCACAAGAGTAAGTAATTTGCCCAGAGTCATTAGCTAAGTGGCTGAATTAGTACGATAAATTGAATGTTTGTACTCATACCGAAATCCTATCCATCAACATGTTGGTGGGTCTTTTGGAGATAAATGGATCCTGCGGGCAGAGCCTATATGAATGCCACACCTAGCTTGTTTCTCTATTGCTGTGATAAAATAGTGACCCCCCAATGCAGGAATGCTGCATAATGGCTTGCTCTGCATGACCTGCCTAGCATGTTTGCTTATACACCAACCACAGTGGGCTTGGTCCTCCCCCATCAATCATTAATTAAAAATATGTCCCAAGAACATGCCCACAGACCAGTGTGATGGAGGTAAGTCCTCAACTGAAATTCTCTCTTTTCAGGTATGTCAGGGTTTGTATTGTTGATAAAAACTAACTAGTATATATCTTTAAAGTAATATATATATATATGCACCATCTGTGTGCCTCATGCCCCTGGAGGCCAGAAGAGAGGAGAGGATGATGTCCCAAGTGAATGTGTATTGTTGACACAAACACAGCCATGTCAAGGATACCAAAGCCCACAGGAACGGCAAAGCCTTCTCCTTGTTCCCAGTATGTTCCCAGTATGACTGATTGTCCTTTAGCCTACACCAGAACACATATAAAGTACCTTCTGCAGCTTCCTCATCACCATGACTGCAGCCTCAGACAGCTCCTCTCCCAGCCTCCTCTTTTGTGCTATATATAACAAACCTGCTGTTTCCCAGCTGTTTGTAGAGCATCTCCATCCAAGTGCAAGGCCTAGCCCATTCCAGCATTATATTACTTGTGCCTGTCATTTCTTCATTCCCTGTTGCTCCATACAAGTCAACTCTAAAACCATGTAGGTTAAGGTAGCAGATGGCAATACATGCCTGGAACTGGAGTTACAGGTTGTTGCAGGCTGCCAGGTGGGTTCTGGCAATGAACCTGGTTCCTCTGTCAGAGCTCTTAATCACTGATCCATCTTTCCGCCTAGTTAGTACCCTTAAAAAAGGAACCTGAGAGCTCTTGACTGCTTTTTCACATTGTCAGGCTGCAAAGAGAAAATGGCAACTTGCATCCCAAAAGATGGATAGGCTCAGAGCCTGGCCATAGTGGTAGTGTGCTCTCAGACTTCCAGATTCTAGAACTGGGAGAAATTTGTTTAAAAACCACTAAGTCTAAATGCTTTATTATAAAAACCTCAGATCTACTAAGAGTAGGATTTGAACCCAAAGATGTTATTTTAAAAAAATAGTCTGGGGTGTTCAATAAATATTTAATGAGCACTACTATATCTTAGACATTATGTTGCTAGGATTCCTAGGGATGAGAAGGAAGAAATACACAGATTACCAGGAAAATGAACAAATAAATTACAGATACCATGAAACAGAAAAGAAAATGATGGATTACAACCTGATAAAAGTATTCTGGGTAAAGGGGATGGCAAGTGCAAAGGCCGAGGTGAGAGCCTGCCCTAGAAGGGAAAGGGAGAGAAGATCCTGCAAAACACAGACTCGTTAATATGGCTGGAGAACAAAGGGTAAAGGAGACAGTTGGAGAAATGAGAGAAACAAGTCCAGATAATGGAGCTCTAGCCAGTGTATACTAAGCAAAATGAAACCACTGAAGGGCTTAAGGAAGGATGGTGACCTGACTGGATCTGTGTCATTACAATTCATTTGGCAGCAGAGTGACAAATAGACTGGAGTGAGGCAAGAGCAATTTTAAAGAATGTGGATGGTGGCTACGGAAGGACTACAAGCAAGAGAGGAAGGCAGCTTAGCAAAGCGTGGTGGTAAAGGATGGTGAATGACATGGGAACGGGTCATACACTCAGATTTTCAGGAAGCAGACAATTTAACCTATCCTATTTTGTATCAAGTGTGCTAGGTTTCTAGCATATCCCAATGGATGTCTTGACCCTTTACTGACTAAGAACTATGGGAAGAAGGTTAGGAGGGAATATGACAACTCAAGCTGAATAGGACTGACAACATACTCTGGTCATTCATCCACATGGACCTGTAGCAGAGGCTGCTGGAAAGATGAACTCCGAGTTCCAGGGCAAGGCTTCAGAAGACTGGAGGGTCCGAGAGAGGGCATTTAAAGCCAGCGGAAGAAGAGAGGAAAGAGACTATGGTGGCACTTGTGGAGGCTCATGGCTCAGACGATTCCAACTCGAGTCAGATAAAGAAGCTAGTTGTTGAAGAGTAGGGGTAAGAGGAAAACTGGCAAGAGAAGAGGGGAGAGTGTATTTGGAAGACGCCCAACAGGCTCAAATGCTGGGATGGTCTTCTAGAAGGGAGACTGAAAATTAGATGGACAGGAAGAATGTGACAACAAATGCCACTGCAAATGGAGAGGGACAGCAAGAGACAGGTGGAGCTCTGAGAGCTACTCAGGGAGGAAGCTTTTTAACATTATTTGTTTATTTATTGGCCACACATACTACTGTGTACTGTGGTGTAAGTGATGAGGTCAAAAGACAACTTATGGGAGCTGGATCTACCATGTGGGTTCTGGTAGGTGACCCCAGATTATGAGGCTTGGTGGCAAGTAACTTTATCGATCTCATCGGTCCCAGAAGAATAGTTTTAAAGAAAGGATGAAGCGTTAGCATGTTTACGGTTCTGGTTAGAAGCAAAAGGAAAATCAAGATACTCCCTTCCTACTTTCCGGGAAAGTAGGAAGGGATAGGAAACAGAACGAAGGCAAACTCAGGGTTACAAAAAGTCAATAAGGGCCAGAGTCCAGCAGGAACAAAATTATAGGGAGAAGGCTGAGGGGTTCAAAAAGAAAAAAGAAAAAAGAAAAAAAAAAAAAAAAAAAAGGGCGAAGAGCTGGTGGTAAGGGCAACCTCAGAGAGTAGTAGCTTTGAGGCTACGGAAGTCACACTGTCAAGTTCCAGGGGTGCAAAAGGGTGGAAGCCGCGCCACCTCGCCGCAGCTGCACTCCACCTCTGCAGAAATGACTGAGAAAAGGCAACACAGGATGCTGCCTGAAAAAAAGCAGGCAGGTAAGGTGAGGATCTATTTCGAGTGTTAACAGCAGCATCGGCCAGAAAAGATCACTTCTCCCGCCTCAGAGAGAGAACAACATACCGCAGGGCTCTGGCTGTACAGGCAGCCAAGCAGAATCTCACATGCCACGTGTCAGGTAGCTTTCATTCCGGCAAAGAACCACCTGGGGCCCTTTAGACAGTTCTCGGCAGATTCCCCTTGCTGGTGGCCGGCGTCCGCCTGCCCTTCCAGCTCGCCGGCACGGCTCCTGACCCTCGCGGCTTGTCAAAGTTCCCGGGCGGTCTGCTTCCGCCGCAGGATCAGACCGCGCGGGGGTTTCCATCAAGTCCCCGCCACCCCGGGAATCCCCCGATCTGGCCGCACTCAAACCCCGCTTCCTCCAAATTTCCTCAGCCGGCGTTTGAAGCCTCAGCTCGCCGTATTGAGGTTTGGACCGCTCCAGCAGAGCGGGTCTC